TCGATTTGCTTACCCAGTTGTCCAGGAATGATATTAATATTATTAATAAGTATTTCGTGCGCACGTTAAACTTATTGCGTGGCCACGAAGTAGTATTTCGTGCACGAAATACTACTTCGTGGCCACAATTAAAAAAGTTCTGATGGGTCCAAAATATCTAAATTACTTCTGGTATGATAATCATTTTACCTATTGGTTTTAACATATCCCTTTAAAGTTCCAGTTTGTCTCTATCTGTTAATGCTCTTTAAACACAACTCTATTAGGAACATTGGAATTTTTTTTTTTTTTACCTGATAGTCTCATTATGAGATAGGTAGATTGAAAAAAACACTATTGATGAAAAATAAAGAAATAAATTAATTAAAAATTTCCTAATAAACGTGGTTTTCATTTCATGTTAAGGCAAACAATAATGTGTTATTTCATGTGAATGGAGGATGTGTGGTACACAAGAGCCTGTGGGCAAACAAACAGGATTCCCCTGTTCTCAAGGTTAGGAGTTCTATGGTCTTTAATAAAGGCGCTATGTGCTGTCTGTGTGTGAGACTGGAAGGATAGTGGGAGAGACAGGCTGCAGCAAAAAGACTGGCATAGGCTTATTGAAATGCACCTGGAAAGTAAACTAATTTTCTCAGCGGGTCAGAGGACTGGTTATGGTAATAAAACGAAAGATGTCATTAGATTCAGAGGTATTTGAAGTGCTCTCTGGTGTGGGTGAAGGTAGAGGGTTGGGGGGAGAGGGGTTTTTGAGGGGGGCAGCAGTGTGTGGAAGAAAAAAAATGTAATGTGTGTGTGTCTGTGAGTGTTTTTCAGTGTGCTTCCCTGCTACTATCTCTGTCTCCTCTGAGGGTAGTTATTCATGAGCTTGACCTACATGTGCCCATGCTCAGGCGTGCATTTGCGAGTGTGTTTGTCAACCCATGCAGGAGTAAGTGCCGAGGTTCTGGCCCGCTCTCCAAGATTCACAAACCACTTTCACGGTCTGAACCAAACTACTCGGTCTGATATATTTTCCTACAACAGATGGAGATCTTTAAATCACAGTCTCAACTGCAGTTATGCTTTTACAGCGGAACTATAGCAGATTCTGTGGCTTCACACACTCACCTAAACATGCTCAATTCTTCTCTTTCTCCTTTCAGAAATGTAAAGTAAAAGATACGCTCAAGAAACAGTCAATACACAAATATAAATGACAAAATATGGCTTTAACAGATGGCTGATTCTTCTCATCGTGAGCATTACTGGCCTCCTTTGTCCTCCTCCTGTCCGAAGCAATGGTTTATAACCAAGTGAAATGCGAGCGGTCTCCTAAGCAACAGCGAGCGAGTCAGCCTGGAGAAGGCTGGAGGTAGCAGCATTGGATCTTTAGCCTCTCGTGTCCCTTTGATGTCCCTCAGCCTAGACGTTACAGACAGCCCTGGATGGTAAACATGAACATGAACAGGCAGTGTGCAGTCTACTGATGTTTGCAGACAGGGTCATGAGTAATGAGGCAACATTTGCATGACAGAACAGCTGCCATACATTTCTGTTTTTTGTTTTTTTTTTTTGTTTTTTTGTTGTTGGGTTTTTTTTTACAGTTTAAGCGTACTAGCTGTGATAACTGAGTAATTCCTCCCCTTGTCAGCAGTTGTGTTGTGCCTGCTATTTGCTGTATTTCTGCACTGGATTTACATAACTGATTACATATGGATGTTAAAAGGCCCATCAGGACCAAAAGATAGGAGAAATTTGGGCTTACTTTCCATGTTAGGTCTAGGGGTGGGTATTGCCAAAGAAGTCACGATTCGATTCGAATCACGATTCACAGGCCACGATGCGATTCTATCATGATGCATCACGATACTTGAATTATTGCGATGCATTGCAATATTTTCTCCTCCATGTTTTGTTTTTGAACGACTCGGCGCAGTATCCTGCGGCCGGAAATGCTTGTGACACAAGGCAACGTGTGTCAACACATCCGCATCGACATCTACTGGACTGGAAGTTGTATTACACTTGTTTTTGGCTGACATTCATGCAATTTTATTTATGCATTTTTTTAAATTAATAATCGATTCTTGGTGTCAAGAATCGATGCAGTAGATCACGAAAATTAGAATCACGATGCATCATCATGACGATTATTTTGCACACCCCTAGTTAGGTCCCAGTTCTCATATGTAGCACAGATTCAGCAAGTTTTCAAAAGTGGCTGATAAGAAAGTTTCAACTATTTCAAGAAGGATTTTTAACAGGTCAGGATCTTGGCTTGGGCTCTATGGTGGTGCAATGGGTGGCACTGTTGTCTTTTAGCAAGATGTGATTAGATTCAGAGGTGTTTGGGTTTGACTCCCGGACCAGGGTCTTTCTGCATGGAGTGTGCATGTTATCCCCGTGCATGAGTAGGTTCTCTCAGGGTACTCCAGCTTCCTCCCACAGTCCAAAAACATGACTGTCAGGTTAATGGGCTCCTCTAAATTGTCCTTAGGTGTGTGTGAGTGTGTGTGTGCATGGTTGTGTGTCTTTATGTGTCTCCGTGTTTCCCTGCGACAGACTGCCGACCTGTCCATTTTGTTCCCCCGCCTATCGCCCATAGACTGCCTGAGATAGGCACTGGCCCCACCGTAACCCTGACAAGGAAAGAGTAGGAGAAGATGGATGGATGTTGAATGGATGGAGGATCTTGACTGGCCCCACATGGAAAAAAAAAAACATCTGATAGGAAGTACTTCCTTGGAATAGGATATTGACACCAATGTGATGCTTAGACAAGTGTGAAGACTTTATAGAGTTGTATCCCTTTAATTGTCACAGTTAAAACAAGGATTAATCAAGGTTAGGATATGTAGTGTTATGAAATTGCCCCATAAACTGAGTTAGAATAAAACTGAAACCATTGAATGTCATTGGATTCTTGTAATTTGCTTTTGCTAATAGGTAAAGTGGTTTTGGCGTCCATCTTGTGATGGTGTCTGGTCCCTTACTGTCCACCCCAATGCCACAGCCCTTCTAATTCCCCCAGCAGACCTTCATTTCAAATTCAGTCAGCAACCTAAGCCTAAGATTTTATTTGATTTATTGAAGTTCATTTAATCAGAATCTATATTTGTTTAAACATTTTACAGTACTGTTTATTTTTAAACAAAATAGGGACATTATTTGAAACAGTTAAGAAAATGTTTTTGGGCGAGAGGCAGGGTACACCCTGGGCAGGTCGGCAGTCTATCGCAGGGCACAAGCTTAACCATCTATCCATCCAATTTTCTGGCAATGCTTAGCCCTGGCATGCTGACCCCACAAGCACCCCTTGTGGGGTCACAAGGGGTGCTTATTCCTATCTCCAGCTGTCAAAGGGCGACAGGCGGGGTACACCCTGGGCAGGTCGGCAGTCTATCGCAGAGTACAAGCTTAACCAGGTTTTCTAAATCCAACATGTTGACTTTTTTTTATTCCCTCTCCTGGACCACAGTCTTACAAGCCTCCAGCTGATGGTATTTTTCTTGCAATTTTTAAAAGTTTCAGACGAAAAGTTTTGTATTCTTTCAAAATGTGGTTTGATTGGAATACATATTTTTTTTACATAAATAATATATTTTTTTATTGCTGTAGATGTTTAGACAGACTTTGTCCAAAATGTGTGTATCATCATTTCCCATTGAAATGTTCCTAAACTGTGTTAGCTAAGAGATGTATTTGCTAGGTATAACTATTGCGAGTCTAAAGAAGAACACATTAACGCACATTTAGCACACATTAGGACCCTTTAAATATCCGTGTGAGACTTTAGAGATATCTGTATGGTAGATTAGGTGTAGACGATTGAGTAGGTTTAGAATCCTCAAACTGTGCCACAAACAGTTAAAACTGAAGACAATTAGGACTGAAATTACAGTCATCAGGGCTTTATTTTCCTCTTTAGAGAATAGTGCACAATGTCTCTTTTAGGTTTTCTGTAGTCCATTATAATATGTACAAATTGCTTCCATTTTCTTCGCTGATATTCCTATAACTTGGTGGGATCATTAAGCTGAATGAATGAGCTTAAATGTGGATCAGCTCATAAAGAGGGTTGCAAGGCCATTTTCTCAGATTGGTCAATGGCAGGGGAGCAGTAAGGAGAGCAGGATACCTTAATTACAAATCTGTACCAGCAGATTATATGATCATACTGACAATGCTGATGTGTAAGTACAAAAAATGTCCTTTTGGTGAAATAAATTAAAGCTATTTTGTAAAATTGGAAACACTGTGACAGACAGAAAATTAGACTTTTCTGGCAGTTTGATCTGGTCCGTGTGTATTTTATGGATCTGAATGTATTTTACTCGGTGTGCTGTGACAATATGATACACCTCGGTTGTTTCGTTTTAGTCATCCAGTCATTTTGGAACCAAAGTTGAAGCTGTCTTCATCTTCTTTGCGCAAAGTTTATTCTCAGTGAAGATTGACGTTTGCTATGACTGCCTCTTGTGACTGGTGTTGTGCAGTTTGTTTGGGATTTGTCAATTGTAAAAGGAGCCAGGATTAGTTAGCTTTTCTAGGTCAGCTCCTTTGTAGGAGCCTCTCCTTGCAGGTGGACATGACTGTAAACATACTGCATGATACATTGGAATGGTTTCAGATCAAATGAATGCATGTTATCATGGCAGTAAGTAAGGATTCATTGATCTGGTTCAGACATTACTTTATTTAGCTGTAAAAACAAATGATGAACACAGACATGCCAAAACTATCTGACAAAGAGCCAATTTGAAAATCATTTCACATCTTGCTACATATTTATATTTGGATTTAGAACCGAACTTTGATTAGGCCATGATAACTTGCATTCAAAAGCAAACAGAGACAATCTACAAAAGCTTAGGTAGAGCTGAAGTTTTAAAGATGTAGTTTTTATGATGCAAATACTCATTTGTTTGCTTTTAATTAGGCTATACTGTACTAGATTCTGGCCCCTTCCACTTTTACTTTATAATATCTCCTCATCCTCTCATCTCTATTTGCTTCAGGGCGCCCAGATGTGGTTGAATCTGTTCCAGACGACCCCACTTACAATGTGAGCAGTGAGCTCATCCTGGAGGTGAGTGCCAGCGATGATAAGGCCATCATCTCCTGTGTCGTTGACCATGACTCCCTGAAAGATGAACAGAAGAAGACCGAGCAGGCGCTGCAAGTCTGGTGTAAGTCATCTGAGACTCTGGAACGTTTGCTGTGAGAATGAATGATGACAGGCAAGAGCATACAACAGTTTCAGGAGGATATAGTAAAGGAAAAGGTCTCTTTTATTTTGCTTCTTTGCTCTTTTGTGCTCTATTTTAAATGTATTACTTAGAAGCGTGGGCAGATTCAGCTCTTTTGTAGGCTGACTTAAAATGTCCCCTGTTTTAATAACAACACAAAGGCAGCGATTTCTTTTCTTCCTCCTGCTGCACTCAGCTAGAGCTAAAACACAGTGGGTGAGAAAATAACTTTTATCAGCTAAGAAGATGCCATGACTGTAGGTTTTGAGTCTGTATAAACGCTGCCCCCTTGTGGGCAATGTCATGGTACTACAACTTAGAGGTAAAGCAGTGGTATTGTGTAAGTGGATTATGTCATAGTGGGACGATGTATGTACAACAGATATGATGAATGGATGAAAATGCATGTGGTTTGTGTTTAAAGCTCTAATTCATGTGTGATGTAAATGCATTGTGTCCATGTGTTTCTGTTTTAATGTGCTTGTCTTCTATGCACAGATGCTCCTAGGGTAGAGATCTCTCCGGAGGCAATAGATGGCAATAGAATGGCAATAGAAGGGCAGGGGTTTGCTCTGCATTGTAAAGGCCAAGGCAACCCTGAGTAAGTTAAACATTTACACATCACCCACTGTGTTAAATACATTTTTCTCCAGACACAGAAATTAGTTGACACAAACATTACCAAGTTACAACCATAACCTTGGTGTATTTGATTGGTGTGTCATATGTTAGAGCAACATGAAGCGGCTTATTGTGAACTGAATGGAAATTTGCAGTTCACACAATTGTTTATCAAGAATGCTGTTTTACTCCTGCTTTAATACATGTTATTGTCATGAATTGTATTTATTATGTCCTTTGCCTAAAAATTGAGCTGCTTTGTTAGAGCAGAGGTTCCAAGACATTTCTATGTGGCAGCCCCCCAAACAGCAGTAGCTGTTGACCAGGAACTGTATATCAAAACCAATGCTACAAAATATTTAAAGAAAGAATTAAACTTTTAGATGTTTTTCTTATTTCTATCACTATTAAATGATTATTACATTTGCTTAACATGAGCAGATTGACTCATGTTTTCAACACTGTATTATATTCCCAATAAATATCAACCTTTAACTGTTGACGACGACAGAGCAAAGAAAATCAAACTTATATTAAGTGTCTATAATGGGAAGGCTGGGCTTAGTGAGTGTCAGTGCCACAAGCATGTCTTTATGCATGTGTTGAAGTACTGTTTATTTTTATTACCTTTCCAATAAAACAGCCAGACTCAGAAAACTAGGGTGTTGCAAAAGGGAAATGGCATGTCAGTGCCTGCTCTGCCGAGGAGGGATGGTCCTTTCTTATTTAGTCAGGGGAAGTCACAAAGTTTAGTTTTAAATCCACTGATTTTAACATTTCATTTGGATATAATAAAGCAAATAATATTTTATGTTTTTACAAAAGGGATTAAGTTATATATTACTTAATTGATTAAAAATAGATGCCATTAATTGTCTTTATCTCCCTGCAAATTTTCTTAGTCCCCCTTTGCATACCCCATGGACGCGCGGCCCCCACTTTAAAAAAATGACTCTGTTAGAGCATTAGTGAAGCAACAGCATTATGGAGAAAGAATTTGTAAATAAATTTGTTTAATTATTTATTTGCTTAATTATTCATTTCAAGCAATTACATGCATTGAAACATACATGTGCATACCAGTTCATCAAAAAAAAAAAAAAAACAGACCTGAAAGGGAGTGGGAAGAAGAAAACGTATTAAATCCCACCCCAATGCTCATTCATAGTAATCATATATATATATTTCCATCATCTGAAAGTGGTTTTAGTGGGAGAATGGCAAAGCCTAGTATATATTGGACCTACCTAAAAAAAAAAAAACAGAATGAAGGGAGATCACCAAAAAGAAAGCCAAGAGGCCCACAGTAATGCAACAAATCCAGCCTTAATTGTCCAGTGACAAGGTGAAATTACAACTGAAACAAAGAAACATTATGTCAGTGATGCACAATGAAATAAAAGATTCTTGACTTCTTAATGAACCCGCTGTGTGTCCCTTAAACGTACATTGTCTGAGGCGAAACATGTTTTTTGTAGAATCTTGCTTTGAGAATGCTTTTCTGCAGCACAGATCAGAGAGCTGGTAAGAACAGCTGTAACAACAGTCCTGGAGGAAAATCCATTAAAATCTCAGACTGGGCTTAAAAAAAGCAGAGCTACAATGTTGAGATCAAAACATCTGTTAGCTTGATCCAGTCGAACGATCATTGATAAAGTATGACAATACTTGAAAATATATAGTTACAGATGACCTTTTTCCTAACTAACACTGGGCTTTTGGGGAATGAAGAATGGGCCAAAATTATAGATGCGCAACTGTGGTAGAGACATACCCCACAAACCAGCAGCTCTTTTTACCCGATACGTGCTGTTTTAAAGCACTCAACAAATAAAGATGATGATGATGATGATGATGATGATGATGATGATGATGATGATGATGATGAATTACAAACTGTGTGTGTTGTCCCGTCGACTTTGCAATTATCCACTGAGTTCTTTTAGTTTATTTATATGAAAAATAATGTCTTTAATAGCATAAAACATGAAAACATTTCATGGGTATGAATATTTTGGTAAATAGCTGTGGAACCGAGGCTCTTGAATCTGTGTCTAGTAATGCTTTGTGAACTTAAGGTTATACATTATTGCTTTTTCTGAGAAAGCTGTCAACTTCATGCCAGCAAGTTTCTCTCAGAGGACTTTTGCAATCTCAGTTTTGACTCAATGTGCTTTTTTTTCCAATAGAATATGACATCACACTGCATAAAAAAATGGCAGCTGAATAAAGGGTCAGTGCTCACTTTGGCTTTTTGGTGGAAGGAAAGAAGATGGGTATAGTCTGAGTTGCACTGGATGCCAAAGTTCATACTTTCACATCTGATTGTTCTCTCTGGTATCACTTTAAACAAGACAGTGTTTAAACTTTCTCTCCAAATATTAGGAAAATAATCTGATCAGCGGTTGCTGCATTGTTTCCTTGCAGCAAGAAGGTCCTAGTATAAAATATATAATTCTGGAATTTTTCTGCATTGAGTTTGTATGTTCTTTTATGCATGTGGTGGATTCTTTCTGGGTACTAAAATAGTGTAAAAACATTCATTTTAGGGCAACTGGTCTGTCTAAAACTGCCCTAATGATTCTGTGAATGTGTGACCTTGCATTGATCACCCTGTATAGACAATAAACCGAAGGATGTATGATGATAATGTCTCTCCATTGAAACCAAAACGGAATCATTAGATGATGGCTGTAATTTTACAAAAACCCCAACTCAGATAAAAAAAGTAATTGCGATGGATCCCGCAAAGACTAAAGCTTCTCCAGCCGAAGCTGGTTCATGTTGGAAATCTTTATAATGGTAATCGGAACGACTTGGGCTCAATTCAAAGGACCCAAAAGCAAGACACCAAAGGCAAGGCAGGGGAGACAAAAAAGGGAGATTTACTTCAAAAAGAAGATGTAAGGTTACAAAAATCAGGTGGGAAAAAACAACTCAGGAGGAGCAGCCAGAGGCAGAATCTGATACATGGGAGGGACTCGTCAGGAATAGCTGAACACTAGAAAGTGACTACACTGAGCTCCAAGCAGAGGGCTGACGCCCCATCGTGGCTTTAAATGCTAAAAGGACTGATTAGTAAAGTGGCTTCAGATGAACAGAGGAAAGGGTAAAAAGGCAAAGATCAGGTTCACACCCTCACAGTCTAAGACACTGCTGCTGAGGGAGCGAGTTCATGATGGTTTGAAATAGTTTAAAACAGAGGAACTAATGAGTCGCGCTGTTGTGAGTGCCCACGCTGCCTGGAAACAATGCATCATCACTGCAGCAAAAAAAGAGCTCCCTTTTTGTCACTTTACAGCAGTTATACATTACAGACTGTCACCAGGAAGCCCATAAGCATACATTAAATGCTTCAAGGACTTTTACTATAAATATGGGGAAATAGCAGCAAATATGCCAAGAATATAGATTTTTTTCAGTCAGTATTTGAATCATTTCCTTACATTATATCTTCTTTTGTTTTTTAACACAGAGCAAGTCGGAATAAATAACAAGGCTTACAGAATTGGAAATAAGAGCTGTGCTATGTCTGTACCAGAGCCTGAATCTGTCTGTGTCGATTGGACCTCCCCAAGTATCCATGTGTCTCTTTATGTTTAAGGTCTCATTAGGTTTCAGCACTTTAGTGACTACCTAATTAGCGTGCCACAGTAATTAGGATCTTTAAAGGAAAACCAGCTTGGAACAAGTAAATTTATTCTCTGTAACAAGGGTTATCATTTAACTGTTACTTTTGTGTTTTTCTTTTTTTTCTATATTTTATCTTTTTTTAGTTATGGAAGCATTATTTTGTGGCCTCTTTAGGAATAACAGTGTGTCCTTAAAATTAAGTTCTGTTCAAAAGGTTATGTGGTGTTGATAAATTACTAAGCAGTAATAATTCATTCTAGATTCATTTTTTCTAAGTTGTGGTAATTGTCTCTTGTTACCTTTAGTTAGAATAGAACACAATAGGTGAGGATGAGGAAGATGTTGTAAATATATATATATATATAATTTTTTTTTTTGGGACAAACCTTCTCATTTAAAGAGTTTTCTTTAGTTTCATGACTATGAAAATTGAAGATTCAAACTGAAGGCATGCAAACTATGAATTAACACATGTGGAATTATATACTTAACAAATAAGTGTGGAACAAGTGAAAATATGTCTTATATTCTTGGTTCTTCAAAGTAGCCACCTTTTGCTTAGATTGCTACTTCACAGACTCGTATGAACTTATCCTCAGCAGTAGACCTGGCTCTTGGTCTTTCTTTCCTGCGGCGGTCCTCATGTGAGCCAGTTTCTTTGAAGTGCTTGATGGTTTTTGGGACGGCAGTTGGGGACACTTTCAAAGTTTTGCCAATTTTTTGGTCTGACAGACTTTCTTTCTTGCCATAATGCAAATTCTAAGAGTCTAGTCAGTAGGACTAACAGCTGTGTGTCCGCCTGACTTCTGCACAACACAACTGATGGTCCCAACCACATTTATTAGGCAAGAAATCCCACTTATTAAACCTGATGGGGGATACCTGTGAAGTGAAAACCATTTCAGGTGATTATCACTTGAAGCTCATCAAGAGAATGCTGACAGTATGCAAAGCAGCAATCAAAACAAAAGTTTCCTATTTTGAAGAACCTAGAATAAAAGACATTGTTTGACTTTTTTCACACTTTTTGTGAAAGTATATAATTCCACATGCTTTAATTCATAGTTTTGATGCCTTCAGTGTTAAGTTTTCATAGTCATGAAAATAAAGAGAACTCTTTGAATGAGAAGGTTGGTCAAAACTTTTAGTTCGTATGATATATATATATATATATATATATATATATATATATATATATATATATATATATATATATATATATATATATAATCACATTCTTTCTTGTTTACATGGACAAAAAATGGGTCACAGTAAACACAAGAAAGCGTGTCACTGATAATGAAATATTGTTCTATATATATATGTATATATATATATATATATATA